CATCGACGAGTAGGGAGACTTGGTCTTGACACTGCCGTTCGGTGAGTTGATGCCGCCGGCCTTGAGCCTCTCTCGCGCCGCTGCAGCTGGATTCGGGGCGCCTGCAGCCGCATAGGCCGTAAAGGGCTTCCTGAACATGCTCTTCTGCTTCTGTGGCGCGGGCTTCGGCTGTTCCTGGGCACTGTTCTGCCTTGACATGCTTCCACCGCTGCCATTGCGCGCCCACGGTTGGTAGTCCTCGCTGAGTAGCTCGACGAAGTTGGATGGGAACAGGCCGACCATGCGCCTGTCGCGCTTCAACCGGCCCATCCACCAAGCTCCATCGCCGGCATTGAGGACTTCAATCAGGTCGCCTTCTATGAATCCGAGGTCGCGTTTAGTCTAGCATGGCGTCAGTCAAGATGCAGCAGCAAGAAGCTTCCGTCTGAACTTACCTCGCCTCCCCATGAATAGACAGCTTTGCACCAGCAAGGAAAGCGCACTGGAAGCGCCTGGCCGACTGCCATGTTGGGTATTATGTGGATGTTGTATTACACAGTACTTGGTGTTGACCGGCAACTTGTTTGGGGCATGCACGGCGGGTGGATGACATGCGTCGATTAGAATAGTGAGAGGCGGCGTCGATTAGGTGTGGGACGCGCAAAATGCTCCGGCGAAAGACAGATGTCGATGGTAGCAATGGGAGAGAGCAGTTCTCTGTGGTCACGCCCCGATTGATAGCGGGGATGTGGTATGGTAAAGCTAAGCAGGGCCTATCGCAACCTGACGTCCCGTCTTGGTTGGGTAAACACGATTCAGCGACCGCTCCCCGGGCAACCGCGACCCGCACTGGCCAGGCTGCGGCCCACTTCGCCTACCACGTCACACAATCTTCAACTCTACACCGCGACATTCGCTTCATCTTGGCCACTCGCCCTGCATAACCGCCTTTGTTGCGCATCCAGTTGCGCATAGTCTGCGATGCTGCATCTTCATTATGCATTGGGCCGCTATAGAACTACTGCGCTGGCGCTCTCGAACAGATGTTCCCACCATCGGGCATACTCTACCCAGCTGCCTTGTTGTTGTACGCTAATGTGAACAGACCTCTAGCCCTCCTACTAACAGCGGTCTAACGGCAGTAGGCGCGCGCGACTTGTCGCCTTGCCTGCGCTCGGGTCACCAGCTGAGTATACAAGGCTGGCTGATCACGATCCACAATCTGTCGACCAAATGCCAAGCCTCACACCCCATCGCCACCATCACAGAAATCAAGGAACATCGAACTGAGGTAAACGCATTGTAATTTTGTCAACAGCTACTGAGATCGAGCGCTATGAATGCGGGCAAAGGTAGAAAGTAAGCACCACTAGGGCGTGCAATGTGTAAAAAAAGACCGATTCCTCCTCAACTTGACTGCCTGATGGAACACCAGCGAGCGAAACGAGTCGCTTACTGTCCGTTCCACAGCTTGGGGCCGGGCATGGGGTAAGACTTGGGGTTGTTCCTGCGATGATGTTAGTATGTCTGGCGCGAGTATCCCGTACGGTTGGGATGAACTTACCACTTGTTGAAGGCAATACCAGCGTCGTTGGCCTTGTAGAGACCGGGAATCTTGACAGTGGGGGAGAGCTTGCCAGTACCGGAAGACTCAATCTTCAGCTGGAAGCACTCCATGTAGAACTGAGCCTTGCCGACATGGCCCTCGTGGATGGCGATGTGCTCAACGCGGACAAGGTACTCGCCAGCAGGAATGCTCTTCTGGATGGTCCACTCAAGGCGGTCCTTTTGCCAGCTGTCCCAGGCAGTGTCGACACCGGGCTGGCTGGGGTTGATGAGGCCGCTCTCCATGACCTTGGTCCAGTCACCGCTGCCATCGTAGCTGGCGACGCTGCCAGGGGCCTTGGAGATGTAGACGAAGCCCGGGCCGGGGTGCTCGATCTTCTCGTTGAAAGCGAGCTTGAAGCCAATCTTGTCACCGGCCTTGACGGTGTAGGTGGGAACACCTCCAGCCTTGGCTCCCTTGTTGCACCTCAGGTCGGGGGAGTTGACGATGTCGGCAGTGAACGAGGGCATGTAGGAGTTGGTGTTCTTGCGGGTGTAAGCATAGTCACCACCAATGGCCTGGTTGTTGACCATGAGGCGGTTGAAGATGTAGTGCGCATCGACCGTCAAGGGCGCAAGAAGAGAGAGGATGATTGAGGCCTTCATGTTGATGGTAAAGAATGAATATGTTCAAAAGAAGTGAATGTAAAAAGTTGGAAGCGAATGTACTGGTTGGTATCGAATGCTGGATGATTGCGATGATTTTTACAACACGGTAACCACTGCGATACTTATACAAACCAGTCTCCCAGCGTGGTTCACCGCATCGTTCCGCTCCATTGGAGGGATATCCATTTTTCGGTCCCTAAATTTCATCAACACCCATTCTCTTCATCTAATCTACACGGCGCCACCCCACCCCCAAGGCGTCATAAGCCATCATAAGCCCATAGTATCCAGTCGCATAGAACGATTCTTTTGTTCTAGTCTCACTTTAAATGAAAACAGGAGTCCCAACCACACGTTGAAACTCATTTAAGCGGTGGAAGAGCCGTGCCAAGCCTCGACAACACCAACACAACGACAGCGGAAACCGCTGTCGCCAAGATCTGGGGTGATCATGCGTTTCACGTTTTGAATCTCTGGCATCTTGGCGAATATGCACCAAAAGAAACCGCCGATATTGGAATTCTCCTATTCGCTCCGCGGATGCCACCCGGGCTGTGTAGGGATCCACTACCCGCGATGCGAATCCGATTTCACGATAGCAATGGTCCGTCGGCTGCCGATATTGGTCATCGTAGCGTTCGGGCCACGGTCTGGACTTCCGACTGTTCTGAACGAGATTGGTGGTGAGGCGGAAGCTTAGCTTCACACACTCGCACACACCACATGTCAGCGGGAACGGAACGTCCAAGCCGCCGTGAATTTTCTCCTCTCGCAAGGATGCCTGGTAGACAGGTGACGGCTTCCTTGTCAATTGCAATACCGCTAGATGCCAAGGCTGCGTTGTCGTACAGGATCGGCCGCACAGCTTCTGGAAACAGATCAATATAGTCGTGCGGTGGCGTTGGACAATTAGAGTAGGTGGCACGCCCTGTTTCTCCTCGCTGACCCACGAGTCGATGCATGATTGCAGACCGCTCCGTCTAGAATTCTGAGAGCAACGGATTCCCACGCAGGTACGATCTCACTGCTTCCTTCACTGACGATTCTTGTCGCTGCACATGAAAATACTCACGACCATAGATACTATCACTCTATAAACCCACCAATCTTCCGAGCATCACACCTTTCCAGACGATCGAGTCCTCACCATTGATCTAATTTATATAGTACTATCAGCCTACGATAACGTCTCCCAGCTGGTACATTCTCCCTCGTAACTTGTCGATGCTATCGAGGATGCTATCCAGCATCTTCTCCCCTTTGTTAATCTTCACAGACAGCTTTGCAAGCATGACACCGAGCTCAGGGCCGTAGCACTGCCTCACATCTCCCTCCTTCGCGCTCAACAGAAACCGATCGACCTCTCGATCGAATGCCGGATCATTACGAACAAGGTCTACAAATTCGAAGACCCGGTCTCGAATCTTGGCTGGAAATGCTCCAATACATAGTTTAGTCCTGCACATCGGACACGTTGCATCCATCTCTTTATCGTTGACAGCGAGCGTGTTGATCCAAGCCTGAAGGCACTGCTCGCCTATGTAATGGCCACAGATCGTCTTCACGGCTGGCTCCACATCATCTCGGTCAATCTGATCGGAGAAGCTGCGTCCGCATATCTCACACTCTTCGAAACCAGCTTCTACTGCTTCGTCCATGGCGCGTTCCGTGAAGCCTTGGACGTACTTCATATCCCCCATAGTCATACCGATATCCATAATACTAGCCGAAGTTTCACCCAGAGATTTCCACTCGAGGATAGTCAGATGGCCGATATGCAAGAACAAGGCCGACCATTCCTCAGATGAGGGTAGACATATGAGCTCATATTCACATAGGGCCAACATCCACTTCTTGTCTTGTGGTAGAATCAGACGCTGCTTAGCTGGATCATCCTCCCAAGTCCCCTGGCGTATGTAGCGTGGATAACCTCGGGCAGGGAATGTATCCAGGTTCCTCTCGGCCTTTTTCATCAGCCACAGTATGCGCGCGATCACCAATGTACGTCCGGTGCATTCTATGTCGTGATCCGGACGGGCTGGAAAATATGCAGTAGTATCGTAATCCGGTAGGGCAAATAGCTCTCTCCCTTCCTTGACATATCGGAGTTTGCGCTCGAAGGTGTGAAGTTGTCGTAATGACTTTAGATATTTGTCGATGAGAGCTTTGTTCCACTTCTCTTGTAGGAAAAGGATTGAACGGGGCTCTGTTAGATCCATTAGGATTGTCGTCTTCAATCCATGAATGTGGACGTCGCAAATCGGGATCGCGTTGGTAAATTGATCGAGCATCATGACGACATCTTCATGTGCAGACTTCAGCTGTGGCTGTGTCATTCCCTCGATGTTTGTTCTTTCGAGAAGGCGCTCGACTCCTGTATGTATCTTCTTACACTCATCAAATAGAGTGCTTTTTAGAACCCGCACAGATGCCTCAATTTCGTCTGCTGCTTTGAGGGACATGGCTGATGGTTCGTTCATATGTACGGTTGAGGGTAGTTTTGGTGATCTGTGGGGAAGTCACTTCGAGGCACTGTTATTATACAACAGAGATCCCGCAAGTAATCAGGCAGCAGCAAATGATAGGGACTGAATCACTGTACCGTCTGTGAAAAGACAATGTCAGCGTTTTGCCAATCGTAAGTCCTTCGAGGCATGATTATACATTCACCTTACAGCAGAACACCAATATTTCAGCTGAACTTCACTCTCTTGGTCGCATGCTCCTTCGCAACCAGCACCTCTTCTTTGAGAGTTTCACTGCACTGCCAAGCATTCCAACTACTTTGAAATTCACCAACGAACAAAATGGTGGGCCACGACGAACTAAATGAGACCGAGCTCCGCGTCCCTGATCCCTTCAGTGTTTGCGAAGTCATCCGCATGCAGATCGACGCCTTCCCCGATGAATTCATCTACGGTGGCAAGTTGACTCCCGACAATCTACCTTTAGTCTACGACCGTAGCGTCAAGCTACTCGAAGATATGAAGGCTGCTCTAAGTGAAGCCAGGACCAAGGTCCCGGTGAAGAATAGGCATATGCGGGTAGAACATTGGATTTGGATGCAGCGGTATGAGGAGGCCATGGCGACTATGAAGCAAACACGCAACAAGCTACGGGATCACTACAGTCGGGAGATGCTCTTGATACTTAAACGTGAGTCTTTAAGTGGGAAGTCAGACATTCTAGAGTGCTGTGGACCGGCGATGTATCCCAAGAGACGGAGAGTGCTTTGGCGCCGTTTTCGCAAGACGGCAGTTGATGTTTGCGAGACGGTAATTCATGTATGCCATTGCTTACTGCTAGGTGGCTAGATAGCGTGAATTAGAGTCTTGATAAATCCAAAACTCAAATCGTGACGATTATTGAACATTTATATCGCGTTTAATGCACGCCGCAAACGTGCGCTATAACTGTTTCGGATCATGTTGTCGGTGGGTGCGATTCAATGACGAAGCCTTCACATCATCTATTCAGTGATCATGAATATTGAGGTCTAGCGAAAGCGATTTTCCTCAGCCAGAGGCATAAAGCCTCTTATTTTACCTCTGCGAGTCAATACCCACCGGGCTCGATACGACCGAACTTCCCAAAGCCCACGGAAAAGCCTTGGTACTGCCGAACACCTTGCTCGCTCTCCAGACTACATCTCAGCACGTCAGGAGCCTCAGCACCGGCATTAGTAATGGACCCCAGGATAGTCATGATGATGCGACAAATGCAGCTGGAAATGCAGATGAGAGCGCAGTTGGAAGAGGCGCAAATGCAGGGCATGCCGCTAAGACAACGCCTGCAAATGGCGGAACAGCTGCGCATGAGAGCGATGATGATGATGGGAGCTCAGCGCGAGCAAATGATGGAGGCGCAACAAGAACAGATGATCATGGCCGCATATCGCCAACAGATGATGGCAGAGCAGATGCGCATGGCTGGCGGTGGTGCAGGAGGGCCGATGCCACCGGGCGGCATGCCTTTCCCGAGGGGCCCGATGTTTTTCCCAGGAGGTATGGCCGGGCCGGGACCCGATCCTCGAAATCATCCGCGAACTGAGTCCCCGGACAATACTTCGGATTCCGACGGGCCTCGCGACGCTAGACCCGGTGGAGGGTCGCCAAGACACGCTGGTGTTCGAAATGGACGACCTGGAGTTGTGTATGGAGATTGGGAGGTCGAGGAAGTAGAGGATGAGAAGTAGAGAAGCTTATGGTATTGACCATGCTGTCTGCAAAGCCCTGCGCGATTGAGTCTGCCGTACCGCGCAAGGGCAGGGTTATGTGCCATTACTATAATGACCCAAGGCTTGCAGGTGTCCATGAAATCTTGATAATAGCCAATATACTCTTCATAAAGTTTTACCGTTGCAATTGTGTACGGCCATACCTGCGCATTTGGCCTCCGTGCACATGACAAATGGAAACTTGAACTGGCGACGGAGCTTGAAAATAGTGCACGAGTCTTTGGTCTTCCGCAGTGCTTCAAGTCGAAATCCATGGTTGCGGTCTCATTAAGCTCTGGGGGTGGGCTTTGCCGCGCCGCGAAGGATCAGAGGCTGTGATGATTACTGATACTTAGGTGCCGGTGTGTCGTGGTAAAGTCGAGGGGTCAGAAGAAAAGCACGAGAGCAGTGCCTGCGACCAGGTCGCGATAGCTCATATTTCTACCCACTGTTCTTATTCCCATGTGGAAAGTAAATCGCGAAAGATCATTGTAACTGGTGTCGAACGACAGGTGGTACTGGAGGAGAGGATGGATTGCGCAAGGGGTTTGTAATCGTAAGTGGGGCCGCCGCCTTCTCCGCTTCTCAAAGAAGGAACAACCACCGCAAGCGGGCAGAATTGCCGGTCTGGTACATCATCCTACAAGCTTACATCATTTATGTAGCCGACGCGATTATATAGCATTGAGGGCGATGCCATACATAACATCTCTGATACATTCTGGCATCTAAAATGCATTCTGCGAACGACCACACCAATGGTCACCAGCCACCAATCGGACCTCGGCTATTCTCCGTCAAGCAACCACCATCACTGGACGAGTTCAAGACACTTACAACGGAGTCTGTTCCCTGCCACTACCCACTAGCAAGCAAGATCGAGGCGAATGTGCCGATATACGATCTACCCGACTATGCCTCGCTCTCCCCAGAACAACGCTCGGCATTACAGGATGAGTTTTACCACATCCTGCTTTCCGGACCAGGCGTGTTCGTCACCAAAGGTCTCTGCAAAGACGTCTCTCTTCTTCAAAAAGTAAACAACGTATACGCAAACATCATTGCAGAAGAGAAGAAAGTGGCGGGCAAACGCGGCGACCACTTTGCTGGAGCCGGCGCGAACGATCGCATCTGGAACTCCGTTTCGAAACACTGCGAAAGAGACCCGGAGTCATTCGTGCAGTACTACTCCAACCCATGGTTGCCTCTCATATCTGGAGCATGGCTCGGTCCGCACCACCGCCTCACAGCACAAGTCAACATTGTGAAGCCAGGCGCGAAGGCCCAGATTTCGCACAGAGACTACCACATTGGCTTCCAGGATAACGAGTCTTGTGCGAAGTTTCCGAAGGCGATGCAAGTCGCGTCACAGTTTCTCACGCTACAAGGAGCTATCGCACACTCAGATATGCCAGTGGAGAGCGGGCCGACGCGATTGCTGCCGTTCAGCCAGAAGTTTGAAGAAGGATATATGGCATACCGCTTGCCTGAGTTCCAAAACTACTTCCTTGAGAAGTATGTATCTGTGCCACTAGAGATGGGGGACGGTCTCTTCTTCAATCCAGCGCTGTTCCATGCCGCAGGTCAGAATGACTCTGCCGATGTCATGCGTTCTGCCAATCTGCTTCAGATCTCATCAGCCTTTGGTAAGCCGATGGAAGCTATCGATACGCACGCACTTGTTGAGAAGACCTGGGAGGGATTGTTGGTAATGTACCAACAGCATGGACTAAGCGATGAGCTCAGAGCTCTCGTCAGCGTTGTCGCTGAAGGATACCCTTTCCCGACCAATCTTGATAGAAGGGTACCTGAGACGGCTGGCATGGCACCCGAGAGCGAGCAGGATGTTCTGATAAAGTCGCTCAAGGCCGGCTCTGAGAAGCAAACAGTGTTGGATACGTTGACGAGGATGCGAGAAGAGTCGAAGACTTGATGCTGTATTGTGCGTTCTTGCTGAGTGGTTCACATAGATGCACGACATCACGTTCCAGAAACAATGTCTAAAATGTCAACTCTATCAAACGCTGCACACTATTTCCCTGTGACACCGTACTTTCCATTTCGTAGACCCTGGCGTTGACCAGCGTTAACGATTACAGCAAACACCGGGAAGCTGCTTTAGTTTGTCGACACGTCTCGCTCCTCCAACGCCTGCCGCTATCCCCAAGACGTAGAAATCATGACCTTCCCCATAGCGACCCTCCTTCATCCCTTCGTATCACAAGCCCTGGCCGACGCTGAACAAAAAGCGAAACTCGGTATCCTGGAAACTCTACCAGGACACCGAACTATGGCCTTACGACCCGAAGAGAACACCAGCGGCCCCCTTATAGCCACTCCAAGGTCCCCAAAACCGTCAGATGAAGCCAGATTTCCACTACCCCTAATGTCTTCACCCACCAGCCCACCTCAAGATCCACACACACCCACTCACGTAGCCCTTACACCAGACGCCGAATTCCTCATCATCGAAGCCGAACTCGCAAACTGCCAACTGACACGAGAAGCGCTACAAAGACGCGAATCCGCACTCAAAGAACGCAAAGCAGAAATCGTACGAGAAACAAAGATGAGGCTTGACAAGGAGGTGCGAGACTTGGCAACGCAAGGCCAAGAGGAAGAAGTCGATCAAGGACTGTTCATGAGCGATGTGCAAAGGAGAGTAGAGGTTAATCTGAAGAAGGCAGATGAGATAGATGGAGCTTCACCAGAGAGGTTGGACCAAGCAGAGCCAGTGGAGGAGAAGAAAGCCGTCCCCATAAGTGCACCAGAGCGGAGGAGACTTGCGCGTCTTGCACTGTTGAAGCAAGACCCTAGGCTAGGGCGATGATATTGATATGACTGCTACATTAACTCTCCCGCGCCCATGTGCTCATAATGCTAGTCATATCACCCTGTTATGCTGGTGCTTTCATACACACATCTCTCCTAGTACGTAACTCAGTTAAGGACAAAGTACTCCGCAATCTCTGGGAAAAGCCTGCCCATTCTCTCCGCTGTGATACTGTCCACCTTGAGAATTGGATCGAGTTTGTACGTAAGCCACAGTATCTTCATGTTGAGACAGGTCATTGCGCGGGCTTGTACCGAGACTTCGCCTATTGTCTTTTAGTAAGAATGAGGGTTATAGCGGATGTGCCTCACGTCTGTGATCTGCAGCAGTGTTCTCGATGATCTTGTTTAGATCCATAATCTCGTCTTGCAGCTTTGTTAGTTGTTGACTGTAGTGATAGTCTGCATCGCGTTGTGCTGTGGTGGGTGCGATAGGGTGCTTCGAAGAGGACATCGTGTGCAGATGGGTGTTGTTTGTCGGAAAGACTTGGAAAGAATTCGAATGGTTGCGCTGATGTTGCAGCGGGTTATCGTATTGCATCAAAGACTCATATACCACTTCAGAGTCGTACGCTGACACCGACACGAAGGCGGCAAAGGCTAGACACAATGTGAAGACTGGATGATTGATCACACGAACTCTCTTACTCCGCTGTACTGATCGACATGCTTGTTGGTGATGTTAGGATGTTTGAACGTACTTCAAGTACAGCATCGCTGGCCGAGTAGCGTTCGCTCCGTACTGGAATGCTCGCGTATTGATCAGTGTGCCGTTCAGCTATGCAAACACCTTTACCCTTCCATATTGCCAAGTAAGCATATATCCTCTTGCCATAGTTGTCATCAACAACTACCATCACTCTACCACACTTCTTGCGCGACAAGCCTTGACATATACCCAGCGCCTAAGCATCACTCACTCGGCACCCTACCTCATTCTCAACCTACCACATCAAATCATCACACTCAAGTCACCAAGAATGTCACACAACACCCCCGACAACCTCCTCAAGCTCGCCGCCGATCTGAACAAACTTGGTGGAGAACTCTGCGCCATCGGCGGCAAACTAGCAACGGCCGCCACAACTCTTGAGCAAGAAGCTGCGAATGTTGCTCTTGCCAATGCGCAACGATGGGGCGTCGATGTACAGGTATGCGTTCGCTAGAAACGGGTTATCACAGTCAGAGTACGGTTGATACTGACAGCATGCGTAGGTCGCTGTGAGAGCTGGGCCGCATGGTCAGTGGGTTGGACAAGGAAACGAGCTCGTCGTCAATGGGGTAAAGAAGTAGTGGTAGTGCTTAGTGAGGAATGCGGAGGAAGGGATGGGAGAAGGGAGCCACGGCATGTGTACGTGGAAGGCGTGGGGTTGAACATCAGTCAGGCGCGACGGTACACACCGAGCTGTGTGGTGCGGAAGGAGAAGCGGAGAGCAGTGACAACACTCGTTGTAGATCAGTGTAACATTACTCTCATTCCACGATTGTCTGCCTCCTTTGCAAGCTTCGTGATGTTGCATAGAAGCGAACGCAGATTGTGGATAAGACTTCTCCCCGCATGTCGGATCCTTTACCCCTCTTCACATCTTGGGGTTTAGCGTTGCAGAGTTTTATCAGATCATCAGATAAGATGCGACACCGGACGCCCGAACAGCCACTCACAGCTCAAGACCAGCTCCGAACCATCTCCAGCCTATATCGCTCATGTAAACTTAATGTTGTACGCGTAGACATATTCGACGCAACTGGCTGCTTTGGAACCAGAAATGGCGGTCTGTCTTCGGAGCGCGAATGCCCAGGTTCGGCGGTGGTGTGATTTCGCCCATGCCCGGAAGTTGACGAGCCAAGCTGCGGAGCTGGGCACGGGCGGACGTACATTCGGTATAATCCTGAAAAACTCATTTACGGAGAGCGGAGATCTGAGGGTCGTCACATGCAGGCAGATATATGAATTGAAAGAGTATCATTTGACCCGTAGTTGGGTTCGTTGAAACGTGTAATCATTAGTCTAATTCCGGGCTGCAGTAGCCATGCGATATGATACAAAATGCAAGAAAGTGAAGAGTGTGTAACCGTCCACTCGTCGTTATTCATAGCGACCGTCAAAACCCTCAATTTGTGTTCTCGTTACGGATGAACGACCATGCGAAACAGGATACAGACACTCTCGCATATCAACGCCGCGGATTGCTGGCGGAACCGCTAAGGGTGGGGTATCGGGCAAAGCAAAGACAGGAGGGCGCTATCAGTGGTCGATATTGTAGTGAGAGACTGCGTCCATCATGGCGTGATCCTCGGCCTTGGTCATGGGCGAGAAAGAAGCTCGGCGCCGTTCCTCGGCTTCTTCAATCAGCGGCGCATGTGGGCCGTCGGACGGGCGGGTCCTGAGAGGACGCTGGGCGTGTTGGAGGGTAGTGAGAATGCTGCTGGCGTCCAGCTCCATCGCGCTGTACATGCCGGGTTCCATAGTGAATGTGTCCCTGCGAGTTTCCTGGCGTCCGAAAGCCTGCGGAACAGGCTTTAGTTGGCGCCAGTCCATGGCGTTCGGGTCCGTGGAAACTCGACCATCAAGTAACTTGAAGGCATCGCTGCAACCGACTGTCCTTCCAGTACCCACAGGCGACGAAATGCCGGCGCTAATGTCTATGCTGGTTGATGCCTTGGGTTCCATGATGTCGAGCGAGCTGCTCTTGCTTGAATTACGCCGTGAGCTCGAAGGGGTTTCCTCGCTCCGGAGCTGAGCGACTCGCTGACACCAGGCTCGCTGCTGGGGGTTTGACTGACAGTCGGCACAAGAGCCAGGCCCGGTCATGGCCATGTTGGGCTTCGCTTCTTCAGTTGAAGAACCACTCTTCATGCGCGTGAGTGAGATGCCCTCGTCGGCGCTGTCAACACGAGCAGGGGGATCGCATATGCAGATGTCCTTTTGTCCCTCACAGAAGCCACAGTCTGTAATCTTGTTGTCCTCCGTCGATGGTGCGAATGTAGATGCGCTCTTGAACTTGTTGGTGAAGTCGACTTCGAACTCGACGTGGGGATGCTTCTCTTGGTCGAGCTCTCCTTGGCCGCCGCGAAGTGTTCCAGTCATGGACACGCCGTCCATACGAGCCGAGGCCTCGTCCGGGAATTGCATATCATTGGTGAGGTCGGCGAGACAGGCGCAATGTTCAGGCGTGCAGCGATCGCATCCTGATTGCGTGCTCTCGAACGGTGCGTCGTGGCGTGCGCTACGGATTCGAGCGAAGTCCGGCATGGGAGCATAGTCCTCGAAATTTGGCGTGCAGACGTCTTCGCCTGCTCTCGCTTTCTGGTACATATTCCTCCACATAATCGTTTGGGCGTCACTTGTGCGTAGACGCTCTGTCAGTATCTGGATTTCTTGTGCTTGAACCCGTGCTCGGTCTTCCAGAAGCTGTTTCTCCCGTAGCCATGTGTTGCGGGCATCGTTGAATTCCGTACTGGTCTGGTTGACCTGTTCGAGCAGCATTTGTACATTCTTCTGCTTGCGTTCACGGAAGTTGCGCTGCGAGATGCGATTCTGGGCCTTGCGCTTGGTCTCAGGCTCCGCGGTGGCAGGCTTGCGGCCGGGCTTGGGTCGGGGCGGGATGGAATGTATCATGCTCGTAGGCCCCCCGCCCGACTGGGAGGGGCCATTGGCGTGCGTGTTGACGGACAACGTGGCGGCGACGTGAGGGCCTGGTGGGGACTTTGGTACGAGTTCTGGGTTGGTGTCAGTTGTTGAAGTGGGCAAGGGTCGATCACGCGGTTGGACAAGTCTGGCAGCCAACAGCCGCGGCGAACTGCTGGTACGCGGGACACGCGGAAAAAGCAATCACGTTACTCACGGCGGATGGAGCTGCGGCGGTCTTGTTCAAAATCGGCAGCGGTACAGATGGTGCTTCCCGAGGACTCAGCAGGCGATGGTGCAGGGCTGCAATCGGACCCAGGTGTGGCAGCGTTGTTGGACGAGGCCATGTTGCGCGGCGGAGCGTAGGGTGCGTACGGGATCTGGTTATCAGATGGAGATCCTGAGTTATCAGATCAGCGGGCGTCTTATCCCGAGCAAAGCCGAGTCCGGAGCGGAACGGATCAACTTACCGG